TATTTTTTTTTTTTTTTAAACCCAGAGGCCCCATGGTGTGGTGGGAGTGCAAAGAGCCCTAGGTTCAGATCCCACCTGTCAGGTGCAAGAGCTCTGGAGTCCCTTCACCTCCCTCAGCTTCCAGGCCTTTCCCATAAAATGAGGCTGCACCACCTACAGCACCAGCACCAGCTGGTTGAGAATTCAGGGGGGTGAGACCCCCAGCATAGCCTGCCACAGGCAAGTGTTTGTGTTGTCAGGAGAGATAGTGTTGACATACTCTGTTCTTCCTTTGATGGTCCTCAACCCTGGTCAGCCCTGTCCCTTGAATGGTACCCAGGGACCTCTAGACATTGTTTAAACAGGACAGTTGTGCCAAGCCTGTGGGAGCCAGGACATGTGGCTCAACGGGGAACTCTATTTCCTCACTTCTTCACACATGGCCTCATGGAGCCTGGGAACCAAGTTCACTTATTCTACCCTGAAAATGTCACCACAATCTTACAGGCTTTTTTTTGCTGTGGTGATTCTACTCCTACACAAAGCATCTCCCTTGGGCTATTGTATCCTACCAAGTGTGTATAAAGTCTTTATCAAGGCTGCCTTACCCTCCTAAATACTGCAAAACCATCCTGTAAACAGAGGCCATTCTAAAGCACTGTTAGAGCCACTTAAAAGAGCACTCAAAATTAAAACCAAATGCCAGGGATTCAAAATAGTATTGCCTTCAGGATCTGTCAACTGGGCACCTATTACAGGCCAGGAGTTATATTCTTATTTAATATTATGACATAGGTGGCATTTCCCCCACTTTAACTGAAAAAACTGAAGCTCAGAGTGATGAAGTGACTCTCTAGGTTTCCATAGCCAGTGGGGAAGAGTCTGCGCCAGATGCAGTCACATAACTCACCCATGTAAGCTGGGATGCCTCTTCTACTCCTCGTATGGACTTGTCACTTTGGAGGTAACTCACCATAACCGCATTGTCATTCTCACCTTTACTGGGAGGTTGAAGAATGAGGTAGGCCGTCTTCTCCATCTGGGTTTGCCCTCCCCTACCATGGGCAGTTTTCCAGATGCTACACCCTGCCCAGGAAAACCTGCTTCTGCTTGTGTTCTTCAGTTTGTGCCCTTACAGTGCACAGCTTGTTCATCCAACAAATATTCATTGAAGGCAGATGATGTGGCACACTCCAAGGCACTGGAGGTGGGACAGTGGACATGGAAGGCACTCTCTTCCTCTTCCCAGAGCTTACTGCACATGATAATTATGGTTTCTGAGTGCTTCTGATGTTCTGGGCCCTTAATAGGTAGTATCCAATTTCAGCCTCCCAACTACTCTAGTTGTTAGGCCCATTTTATAGATAAGGCACCAGGAGCCCAGGGAGACAAAGTAAGTTGCTCAGGGTTGTGAAGCACATATGTGGCAAGGTAAGGGCTAGAACACAGGGTTTTCCCCACCATGCTATGCTGCTCCCTGGTTAGAGACATGAAGTATGATTTCATGAGCCTTACTCTGTCCATGATATTTCTAGAGTCCTCCAGACTGTCCCTTCTCCTTTCCCCTGGCCCAATCATGACACCCCTTGCCCAATTCCATCCATGCTAGCCACACACAGCCCTTTAAATTCTCACTCCTTTCCTATAAACAGTAGGAATTTTGCTTTGATCAGGGAAATCTCAAGAGTTTCAGGGCTTGGCTCTGGGGCCCTCATCCTTGCAGGTTTCTCCCGAGGAGATGAAACCAGGAGAAATACATTTTTTCCTAATCCTCTGGTCTGAAATTGGAATAAGGAAAAATGTGTCAAGACTGTATTTGAAAACTAAATATTCAATCATAGTGGGAGAAATGCTTACAATATAATTTTAGTCTAGAGAGGCAAGAATAAAACTATATGATAAATGGCACCACTGTTTGCTGAGCACCTGCTCTGGGTCAGGGACTAGGTTGAGCATTTTACATACATTATGTCTTTTAATTCCTATGAGGAGTCTTTTAATTCCCATAGGAAGGGTATTATTTTTCCCAGTTCACAAATAAGGAATCTGGGGTTTCAGGGAGGTTAGGTGAACTTCTTAAGGTCACATAGCTGGTAACCTTGAGTCAAGACATGAACCCCAAGGCCATTTAACTCAAAGTCCACAGTTAGAACCAATGGGTTAATCAGTATGATGGCAATCTTGTAAATAAGCATAGAAATCATGAGAAAAGTCTGGGTGGTGGGGTTTCAGGTCATCTGTGACTTTTACAATCTTCTTTCTTCTGAATTTTCTAGACTTTCTACAAAAAACACCATTATTTTTACTATTAGAAAAAATTACAACACAAACTTTTTTTTATGGTACTGGGGAGTGAACCCAGTGCTTCACATGTGCTAAGCATATATTCTATCACTGAGCTATATCTGCAGCCTAACAAAATTATTTCTTAAAAAAAATAAATAGGGAAATAATTCCCATTTTTTCAATGCTACAAGGAATATTTAAAAATTAAAAGATAATGTGTGCTTCATGAATTTGCCCCAACTGGTTCTAGAGTGGTTCTCTCTCTCTCCTTCCTGTCTTTCTTTCACTCATGCCAGATGCTACAGCAGGAGCTGGGGATAAATTTGTGAATAAATTAAGGACTAGCATGTGCTCTGGCACACAGCAGACCCATAATGAAATTTAGTTAGATGGATGAACCAACAGATGGAGAGATGGGTGGGAGTGGGAGGATACATACCTGGATGAATGAAGGCCCACTGGCTGAAATTACAGGTTCCATACTGAGAAGAATTCTAAAAATAGGCTCTTGAGCTACTGCTCATTGCAGTGTAGATTCTTGTCTATAAGAAATATTCCTGGAGATACCAAGGAGACCAGCCAAGGGAAGTAGAAATTATTAACAGCTGGAGATGTGGGGCTCAGAAGTGCTTGTTAAGCAACACATGGATTGTAAACAGGAAATCTGGAGGCTGAGCTCTCTCTCTCTCAGCAAAGGGAGACTGAACTCATGGCCTATGTTTGCTTTGTACCAATGCCAATAGGTCACACAAAAAAGGACTTTTTTGTTGTTGTTTTTTGGGGATCTGGGGATTGAACCCAGCAGTGCTTTACCACTGAGGTACATTCCCAGCCTTTTTTAATCTTTTATTTTGCGACAGTTTCACTAAGTTGCTTAGGGACTCACTAAATTGCAGAGGCTGGCCTCAAGCTTATATTCTTGCTTCTGCCTCCTGAGTCACTAGGATTATAGATGTGTGCCACTGTGCCCAAAAAGACCTTGCTCTTTGAGAAAGAGCTATCACAAGTACGTGCTGATCTCCTTGGCTTCTGAGCGTAGTGGTCAAGAAGGGGCTCAAATGTGATGTCCCTTTATCCCATATTCCTTTGGTGTTCAGATTACAAAAACTCACTGAGCTTCAGAGTAGCCAACTATATAGTAGGGACATTAACAAGACCACTTCAAAGGGTAACAATGAAAATTTAGTGAGTCAGTAATAAAAACTACCTTTTATGAAGATTTCACTGTGTGCCAGCCACAGCATTAGGTTCATTATATAGGACAACTCATTTAACTTCTGTCTAATAAGTTAGGAATGTACCTGTCGTGTCCTAATAAAATCTGGCCATCATCTCCTCCCCACAAATTCCTCCCTGCAATGGTACTATTCTTCTAAAAGATGACTTTTAGGTTCAATCCCAGTATAAAAACCAACCAACCAACCAACAACAATAACAAAACAAAACAAAGCAAAAGCCGAAACAAACAAACCCCGCTTCCAAATGTCCTTTTTATAGTACTGGGGATTGAACTAAGGGTGTTGCACATGACTTAGGTGCAAGCACTTTACCACAAAGCTATTTCTGCAGTCCCAAAACATGACTTAATGTTACATAATGCTCTGTCTGATATTTGTAACACCTTAAATTGAATGCTTTCTTATTTGGGGATGCTTAAGTTGTTTCCATTTTTTTTTTTTTTTTTTTTTTTTTTGCAGTGCATCTTCCTCTTTGATCTCCACAAGTGATCATAATAATCTACTATGTGCCTCCTACATGGCTGGTGCTGTTCAAAATTCTAAGTACTTAACCCTTTAGCAACCCTGTAAAGAATGGACTGTTTTCATCCCAATTTATAGATGAGGTGCAGAGAAGTAGTGGATATTTCCCTATAATAGAAGATATTCTTCAAAGTGGGAAAACTGAATCAAAGAAAATATACATTTTAAAGTCTCTTCCAGAAAGATGTGGCAGTTGCCAATGGCTAAACCAGCAGGGTAGCTTGACCAGTGGCACCCAGCCCGTTAATCCCTTTGCAGCTAATGCCATGGATTTCAAGCCTTGCTGATAGAAGGATCCCAGCTTGGGACACAATCTTCCTCCTCATTCAATACACAGATGGTTCTTAACCCCAGCTTCTTAAAGGCTGAGTCCCTGGTCACAGGGCAATCTAGACAATAGGGTGCTGCTATCTCTTCATGCTCTACCCCTTGAAGACAGAATTAAAGCATATGCTGTGGAAATGGAGGGACAGTGACACAATGCTCATGTTTCATGTTCTTTGGTGGCCATGTAAGAGGACAAAATTACCTTAGTGGTGCCTTATCCTTGAGCAACAAGTCACCAGGATCCCATACACAGAAAGGCCTGTGAGGTCACCAAGCGGTGCAATCTTGATCTGCACCTTGGATAAAAGCTGTTGATCAACCGGAAGGATCTCTCTTATATTAATTTTCCAATGAATTCCTTCTCACCATCAGGGACTTTTCAAATGCTACTTCCCCCTAGGAGCCTTCCCTGATTCTCTAGGCAGAAGCAATTCACTATTCCCCAACACCTCCCACAGAACAAATTCTGTTTTCCTCCCATTATTGCTGGTTGTTTGCATTTGTCCCTCTCACTGTACTATAAGACTTTGACAGCAGAGCCTTATTTTAAGAGGTTAGCATGGTGGACTTTGTAGTCATATATCTGAGGTCAAATCTCCCATCTATCCTGGCTGTGTGACTTTAGGTAGTCACTCAACCACTCTGAGCTTATTTTCCACCTGTTTAGTAGAATGATAACCAGTCATTTCATAAGGTTGTTGTGAGACTAAGTAGGTTCCTGATATAAATTTTAACTCTTAACATTATATCTTTTAATTTCTGGAGTACCCAGCTTCGTATATTTAATTACCAAGGGCTGCATAAGTATTTGTTACCATTATTACTGGAATTATTCAAGCAAAGCCAAGAGGTAGGATGTACAGGGGGTCATGATTATGGGCTCTGGATTGCTTGGGTTCTAACTCTGTGTTGGCCACTTTCTAACTGGGTGGCTGTGTAATTAATCTGACTTTCCCTGAACCTCAGTCTCATTATCTTTAAAATTGACATACAAAAAATAATAAAAATAAAAAATACCAAAAACCCGCTGGGCACAACTGTATCTATGCCTATGTTCCAGCTACTTGGGAGGCTGAGACAGGAGGATCACTTGAGCCCAGGAGTTTAAGTCTAGCCTAGGCATCATAGGAAGATCCTATCTCAAAAATGAACTTAATAAAAGCACTGACTTTACAGAGTCCTTCATTTAACTCAGGGAAGAAATTATTTTAACAAGCATTAATGTAATACTCAAAACACAATAAGTGTCTAATAAAAGGTTTTATAATTTATAGTAAATGGTCTCAAGCCTCTGGGAATTCTCTCTCTGCAGGTCATCAAACGCTGTGACCTTATACTCTTAATGGAAATCAAGGACAGCAACAACAGGATCTGTCCCATGCTGATGGATAAGCTGAATGGGTAAATACAAGGGGGAAGGGACAGAGGTTCTGAAGGAAGTCTGAAACTGGTGTGAGAGCCAGCACTTATTCTGACCATAAAAATCAGATGGCCAGTGCTGGTCAGACTTCTTACTCTCTTAGCCATGGTCCTAAACTGTTACCTGACAGGTTTTAATATGATAAAATAAAACAAGGGGAATAGGTAATGAGTTAATACAGAAATGAAAACAAGATTCTGAGCTAAGAAGTTCTGTTATAAAGATTGAATGTTAACAATAGAAGTAGGATAAATACAATTTTAATGTATTTTCAGACTGGAACATCATGCAACTATTAAAAAAAAAAATCCACCTACTACAAGGCAGACATGATTACACATACCTGTAATCCCAGCTCCACAGGAGGCTAAGGCAAGAGGATCACAAGCTCAAGGCCAGCCTGGGCAGTAGTGAGACTGGCTCAAAATAAAATAAAAAGGGCTGGGGATATATAGCTCAATAGAAAAGCGCCCCCTGTTCAGTCCCTAGTACTAAAAAAAAAAAAACATGCTTACAAAATAAGTAATATTCTAGCATGAAAAGATAGCTGAAATATATTGAAAATACAAAGTTTAGAACTGTAAGTACAGCGACCCATTCTAAACCCCATGTTATATTTTCCATGAATAAGGGCAAATTTGTGTTTGGGAGAGCACAGAAGAGACTGGAAGGGGAGCTCCAGACTGTTAATAGCTCCAGGGGGGCGTGACTGAAAAGGAATGGGTCACTTAAGGAATGGAGAACAGTTATTTTTTAATACTTCTGTATAATTTGAATATTTTATAATCAGTCCAGGTTGATTTTTATAATTTAAAAATAAAAGCAACCTGGGGTTGTGGCTCAGTGGTAGAGCACTTGCCTAGCGTATGAGGCACTGGGTTCAATCTTCAGCACCACATAAAAAAGTAAATAAATTAAGTTATTGTATCCATCTATAACTAAAAAATATTAGCAACAAAAAAGTAGTGTCTTCAAATAGTTTTAAATGACATTAGCTGATATTTACGGTTTATATTATTTCTGAATGATCAGCAGATTCAACTCACTAGTTAGCTTGCAATCACTGTACCAAATACCTGAGATAAACAATTTATAAAGATGAAAGGTTGGGCTGGGGATGTGGCTCAAGCGGTAGCGCGCTCGCCTGGCATGCATGCGGCGCGGGTTCGATCCTCAGCACCACATACAAACAAAGATGAAAGGTTTACTTCATCTCACAATTCTGAAGGTTTTGGCTCATGGTTAGTTGGCTGCATTGCTTTTGGGACTGTGGTAAGGCAGAACATGATGGTGGGCATGTGTGGTTGGGGAGGCCTATTGACCTCATGGCAGCAGGCTAGCAAAGAAAGAGAGAAAAGAGACGGGACTAGAGTTCTAATAGCCCCTTCAAGGGCATGCTCCCAGTATCCTAACTTCCGCCTACCAGGCCCCACCTCTCAAAGGTTCCATACATCACGATAGCTCAACAGGTTGGCAACCAAGCCTTCAACTCTTGGGCTTTTAGATGACACTTCTCCAAACCATGAGAACTGAACCTACCCAAACCTACCCAAGTGACCACCCCAAAGTAAGTTTAAAATGTATATTCATGCTCCCCACCCCAATGAATAAGAATATCTGTGAAAGAGAATATGTATTTTAACAAGCTTCCTGGGTGATTCTGATGTTCCTTAATGTTTTGTTTATTTATTATAATATTGAAATCCACAAACCCAGGGCCTTGTGTATGCTGGGCAAGTGCTCTACCACTGAGCTACACCTCCAGCTTGACGTGCCTTAATTTTTTAAAACTTCTAATATAATGGGTGTGTTTTGTAAATAAATAATAAGATAAAGCAACAAACTAGAGTACACAATGAGTACCATGCTCTCTCAATTATTTTGTTTGGTACCAGGGATTGAACCCAGAGGTGCTTATCCACTGAGCCACATTCCCAGCCATTTTTATTTTTTATTTTTAGACAGGGTCTCACTAAGTTCTTTAGGGCCTTGCTAAATTGCTGGGACTGGCCTCAAACTTGGGATCGTCCTGTTTCAGGCTCCTGAATTGCTGGGATTACAGGCGTGCAACATCATACCCGGCTTCTCTCATTTGTTTTTAAAAAAGCAAGATTCAAATGAAATACAGCAAATATTGGCAGTACCTATTTCAGGGTACAAATTTATAAGGAATTTAAGAGTAATTTTTTTACATTTTCTAATAAGAATGTTACACTCCCCTTTCTTATGAAATTTCTCAAACATACATAAAAGCCCAAAAACATTCTAATCAAAAACTGTGTTTTAACAAACAGAAACATCTGGCCATTATTAGACTTTGATAGTTAGGAAAACTCACATTGTTCTTTAGCGGGTCAATTTGGACTCACTAGACCTGGTAACGGAAAACTTGCTTCCACAGAGCCTCTTAGACTTGCCCCGACCCTTCTCTAAGCCCTAGTTTCTTATCTGAAAATAGTCCAGATAAGCGTATCGTTTTTTAGTCTCACCAGGTCTTCTGTTTCTGGATCTGATCTTTGAAAGGTAGAGACAGAGACATCTCATAGGGGTTAGGAGCCCATGCTTTGCTCAGACTACCTGGATTTTGATCTTTGCTGTACCACAACCTTGGGCAAATTAGTTCTTTGTGCCTCATTTCCCCCAAATGTAAAATGGGGCTAATGTAAAAGTCATCCAAGGATGATAATTAACTCCTGCATGTAAGGTGGTTGAACAGTGCCTTCTGTATAGGCATGATCAGTAAGTACTAGTGGTGTCTATAATTACTAAATGAAAAGGAGTTATAATGGCAGGTGACATCCAAGGGGCCACACTCAACTCCTGGTCAGGCAGCTGCCAATCTGTTTACGTTTGCTGTTTCATTTACTCCCCAGAGAACCCAGTGGAGTGGGTACTATTACTGCTTCCCTTATAGCTGACGGAACTGAGGCACAAAGAGGAAGGTCCTGCCCAAGGTCACCCAGACAGTAAATGGTTGAGCCTACATTTAACCCGAATCATGTTAGACTCAAAACAAGTGCTCTGTTCTTATCCCCCTCCGTCTTCCTTGGAGTGGCCCCAGTCAGTTTTCAGGAGTGTGGGGTACAGGTGGACTCCAGGCATCTCCCCACAGTCAACCTAGGGCACGTCTTTCTACCACTAGTGCTCCCCAACCTGCCTTGACTGTGCCATGGATTCCGACTCCCCTCGCCCCTTTTGCTTTCCTCTCCCCCCCCCCCCACCCCACTGGAAATGGAACCCAGGGCCTCCCACATGTTAAGAGTACACTCTGTCACTGTACTTAACAGTCACCGAGGCTATCTTTTTGTCCTCCATAGGCAGGAAGAGCCTTAGTCACCTCACAGCTGAGTCACTGCATACAATTTGCAACTCAGGCCTTGACAGGCTGGATTCAGGAGAGAGCCAGTTTTCTGAACTGAGAACCTATCCTCACTCCTGAGGCCCCATTACCGAGTCTGGCTTAGAACATGTCTTTGAAGCACCAGGAATTTCTGCAGAGTCCAAGCTGGCTCTGAATAGCCACTCTGCTCTTTCCCAACGGACACTGAGACTCTGCCACAGTTGTAGATAGCTCCTAGATCTTTTCGTGAGTAGATGGAGTGAAACTGTGTCAGGCTCTGCCCAAAGTGGAGTCACCAGCTGGTTTGGCAAAGGCACAAGGAGTAGTTTCCCCGATGTAGGCGAGAGGTGGGGCTCATGGGCTGTCATGACTATATTCCCATCTCCAGGACATGAACAAGAGTGACTTGAAATCACAGTCCCCATACTTGGGAGAAAATGCCTGAGTTTCAGAGGAGGGAATTTTCTCACATGTGATGAATGCTTAGGGGCTGCCACAGACAAGGCCACGTGATAAGTTGACTCCACAGAAAGGATGAGTGGCAGCCCAGCAGGTTTTCTGTGCCGGCCTGAATTACCTATGGTCTCAACAGTTGCAGGCCACAGCTTGTAGGTTTGGGAATGAGTCAGATCTGTGTTCAAATCCCAGTTTTGTACTCATAAACTACAAAAGGGGAGGTTAACAATAGTACCCACTTTCTCAGGCTAAGAAATAAGGGCCAGGCTGAGATATAGCTTGGTTCAGTGGTAAAGTGCTTACCTATCATGCTCAAGGCCCTGGATTCGATCCCCAGCACAACAAATAAGTAAATGTAAAAAAAAAAAAAAAAAAAAAAGAAACCAAAAACAAAGGCTGTAAAGGTCTGGCAGATCACAGTTCCAATCAATGGTGGCTCCTCTTATCAGACTGAAAAGCTATAATGATCGGTAGCTCTTCTACACAATGCCATAGGGAATATGGAGGCAAATTGGAGTGAGGAGAATGTATGCAGCACAGAATGTTCATTCTTTTGGGGGGTTGGGGTGGGGATATTCATTCTTTAAGATACAGTGTGAAATCTTTATGTTTTCTAGAAATTCAAGGAGAGACATCCCATACAGCTATGTGATTAGCTCTCGTCTTGGAAGAAACACATATAAAGAACAGTATGCCTTTATCTACAAGTAAGTATAATCTATGCTGTCTGGTTCTACTTAAAACTGTGAACACAAATTCAGTCAAAAATTAATTTTTTTTCAAAACCAGATTTTGATTTCTAACCAATTCTCAATATCAATAAAAATAATTGCTATCAAAATTGGGATGGATTCAAAACATTAAATCTTCAAACTGGAAATCATGAGCAGCTTTCTAACACCTAATTTGTTGGTTGACTTGATGGTTGCCTGGGACAGTACTTTATTCTTCATGGTCAAGTCCTGGCCTGGGGCTGGAAACCAGAGTTGCCCAGCATGACTGACTCCTGAACTTCATAGTCTTCTCTTTATTCATTTCTGTCAGAACATTCCCTTGTGGGAGTCCTAGATGACTAGCACAGCCCAGATCTTCAACTCCCCAGGGCCCAGGCAATATGAAAAGTTGACTCAGCCTTGTTTTTCAGGCAAAAGATGCTGCCAGTGCTGGAGCCTGCTCTGAAGGCTAAGGGGACCTAAATCTCTACTTCTTCAAAGTAAGCAAACAATAGACTCTTTTTTTTTTTTTTTTCTCTTCTAGGGAAAAGCTGGTGTCTGTAAAGGAGAAGTACCTCTACCATGACTATCAGGATGGGGACACAGATGTGTTTTCCAGGGAGCCCTTTGTGGTTTGGTTCCAGTCACCCCACACTGGTGAGACCCCCAGGGCCCTCTTATCCATGGACCTCCTCGGTGGCCCATGAGAGGGCGGCAGACCTGAATACCATATGGACAGGGTTCCCGGGGCACATGCAGCATCTTCAGGGAGGCAGACACTAGGCTTGAGATGAAGATGTGCTGTTGCTTCTGATACCTTGAAGGTACTTTGATGACACTAGGCTTGCTTCTCAGAATATTAAAATGCGAGACCACCCAACCTGGATCTCATCTCCCAGGATCAATGATAAATATTCTATTCTTACTTTCCATGTAGCATTTAGGCTCGTGGAAATTATTTGCTGCAATTCCATGGTCCCTCTCAAATACAGTATTCCTTCATTTTAAACAGCCCCAAGGAGCCAGATTAGGTGGCACATACCTGTAATCCCAGTGATTTGGGAGGCTGAGGCAGAAAAATTGCAAGTTCAAAGCCAGCCTCAGCAACTTAGTGAGGCCCCAAGCAATTTAATGAGACTCTGTTTCAAAATAAAAAATAAAAAGTGATCAGAGTGTGCTGGGATTTGTGGCTCAGCGGTAGAGCGCTCGCCTAGCACATATGAGGCACTGGGTTTGATCCTCAGCACCACATAAAAATAAATAAATAAAATAAAGATATTGTGTCCATCTACAACTAAAAAAAATATTTTTTAAAAAAGGAATGGGGATGTATTCCTTGATAGAGTACTCCTGGGTTCAAACCCCAGTACAAAAAGTCTAAAAAGTCCTAGTAATGACCACCAAAGGTGAACCCTGGCTGAAAGTCTCACTCTCCTTGCAGTCATTAGGTAGCAGTCTCACCCATGAACTACTGCCAGGAGACAGGAAATCAAAATCATTTCTACCCTGAGCTCTGACAACAATATTATTGATCCCTGATTGAGTGTTGGCTTCCTATAACCCTTGCAACACAATATACAGTAGGGACTAGGATTGTCTCCTCTTTACATTTAAGAAAACTGAGGTTCAAATAGGTGCAGCCACATTTCCAGGTCACCCAGATATTGAAGTGGATGACCAGGATTGTAATCCAAGCCACCGTCTCAGGAGCCCATGTTCTTAACCACCATGCAGCACTCAATGGAGAGACAAGAATTAAATTTGGTTTGAAGATTGCAACAACACAGAATAAATTATATTTTCAGTACCTATTAAGTACCAGGCTATGTTGAGGGCACCAGGCAAGACAGAAAAGCTCCTTGCCCCCATGGAGTTATATTTTAGCAGGGCATACAGATCATGACCAAATAAATATATGCTGGGTTAGGGGTATGCTCCATAGTAGAATGCATACTTATAATGCACAAAGCCCTATATTCAATCCCCATTACCAAATATATGTAGGTTTATAAGTTCACCTACATGTACACCTGTATCATCTATACTGTCATATAAACAATATAAACACCAGTACAAACATCCTGAATCATGAAGTTTTATTTCTGCCCAGGGCTAATTCTTTCAGGGAGGAACATTTCCAGAAAATAAACATAGAGAAGGAGGATACTGAGGGTGGTAAATGCCCTTCAGAGAGCATGTACAGTAAACCTTTTTTTGTCATATAAACAATTTGTATTTGGATGACAAGGGAAAGCTTCCCCACCCCCAAATAATTACTTCTTCTCAAGAGCCCTGAACCTTTGTGAACTACTAAACAAACCAGTTTGCCCTGAGCCTCCATCCTACCCCTTCCCTAGCCATCCCCTCTTTTGAGACAGCACTCCCTCTATGGAGTTTTCTCTCTTGAATCAGGAAATCTATGTTCCCTTGATCTGGGATTGAAGATGGAAAGACTTAGTTATTTCATTCATTCATCTGTCTATCCATCCACCAATCCACTCATTCATCCATCATTTTGGATCACCTTCAGTGTGCTGAGCACTGTGCTAGATAATAGAGCAAAGAGGGTAAACATGACAGACAAGTCTGCTCCCACCTCTAGTGGATTAAATACAGAAGAAGCAAAGAAAATTATTTCAGAGTATGAAGGAAATAATCACAAGGGTGCACTGGATAGTGGAATGGGGGGCCTACCTTAGATGGGGTGTCTAGGGATGGCCTCTTGGAGAAGACAAGGAATGGGGTGACTAGGGATGGCCCCTTGGGCTCTGACTTGTCAAAGCCAGCCATACAGAGGGCTGGAGATCAGAGAGGTTGGGAAATGAAGCAGAGGCTAAGGAGGTGCCCAGCAGAGGTGGCTGGGGCATCAGCCTGCCCCTTGGAATCTCTTGCTGGTCTAAGTGATGGCTCCCCAGTGTGGCTTGAGCAGTGATCACCCCACAGTCTCACCTTGAGGCAGGATTGGGGACCCAGTCAGAGGAGGAGATGCTCAGGACAACTGATATTGGCAGGCAGGCAAGCAAGATTCTGATGTTTGCCTTCATGGTCACACAGATCCCTAGTGGTGGGGGAAGGTTTTCAAACACTCCACAAAAGGCTGTCTTATTTTTTAAGTAACTTTTTTTAGGCTTTTTTCTTGATTACAAAAGGAGTATGAACTGGTCGCAATTTTTTTCAAAAAAATTTTTTAATTAGAAAAAAATTTCCCTTTATATAAAATATAAAAACTTAAAAAATTTACACTTTTAAAAATATAAAATATAGCCTAGTGTGGTGGTGTATGCCTTTAACCCCAGCAACTCAGGGCTGAAACAGGAGAATTTTGGTAAGGCAGACATGGGCACTGAGAATATAAGGTTAAGGGAATAATTCTATAAGCTGGGCCCACTGTGCTGACCCCCACATACCCAGCCTGAGCCACATACACAGCCCTTTTTATTTTTTATTTTAAGACAGGGTCTTGCTAAGTTTCTTAGGGTCTCCCTAAGTTGCTGAGGCTTACCCTTGAACTTGGGATCCTCCTGCTTCTTCCTCCAGAGACACTGGGATTACAAGCATGTGCCACCACACCCAACTATTTTCTTAAAAAAAAAAAAAAAGGCAATTTCCCCACAGCTCTGCTAGCTTAAGTCAATAGGATATGTTAAATTCCTCAGCAAATAACCTGTTATCTGCAGGAGGGATGCAGGCTTGAAATGCCAATAAGTTACCCTAAAAGGGGGGATTTTTGTGATCCTTACACAAACCAGACCCCACAACTCAGGCAGCTAAGGATAATTCCCCTTAACCATAAAAATGTGTAAGAACTGGTTCCAATTAGAACTGATCAGCATGGGCCAAAGTGACCTAGAGTTTTCATGCACAGTAGGGACTTAAAAGTCTGTTGTCATCCTGCTGTCAAAAGTAAAGAGGTGGACCTGGGCAGAACTCTCTGGAAACTTCCCTGGAACCCCACTAAATCTGGAGGACAGGAAAGACAGGAGGTCAGGGGGTCCTGAAGGATGAGTGGCATCCAGCACAAAGAATGAGACAAGGAGTCATTCCATTGGAGCAACCTCTAGAGAGAGAGCTATAAAACTGCTTTCTCTCTGTCTCCTTTTATTTTGCCTTTCCTCATTAGTAAAAGAATCATTAGTAAAATGTATCATTAATTTACAATTTCCAGATTTTCCCAGGATGTAACATTTCCTTGTTTAACAGATGCCAAACTATGTAACCAGACTTTGTCTCATAACCTGTCATTAACCTTTAAGTTTAAAGCACACCTGTACTTTATTTCTAATCTAGGATCCCATTTAAAAGTCCCCTTATAACAATCTTATAGTATATTCTAAAAGCATCTAAAAATGCCAACATTTATTCTCATAAAACTGGTTGAGCTGCTTTCTCAGAGAGTTTTTTTTTTTTCCTTAGTCAAAGTACACCAGTTCCTTACTAATCTTTAACTAAAGGGCAGGCTCTGTATGTCAATCCCCCTGCCACTAACATTAACTATGCTTATCATAAATCCCTGTGTAAAGTAAAGGAGGGTCTATTAGAAGGGAAATATATTTTTATTAGCCTTTTCTCCTCTGTATGAATACCATAGCCTATCCTTAATCAAATAGGCTACATATAGTGGGCTTCGTACAATAGGCATAACTATCTGCTTAGGCTCTTTGAGAGACGGAGGATATGAATTTGGATTCTTGGTTGATATAATCAATTGTGGTACCTAGAGTTCCTGTAACATTTCCCAGAATGATTGATTGTTGATACTTTTCTGTTTTGTCCTCAATGTCCTGATATTAAAACAGCCTTTTAAGTCATGAACCACCTGTTATACTCTAGAATTTAATTTGGTTTAGCAATAAGTATACTCATGCCTTCTATTAGGTTTATAAAATAAAAAGTCCCAATTACATAAAAAAGGGTCTCATGGTTTCTGTTTCCAAATGTGCAGCCTTGCCAAAGACTTTCATCCTCACTGTGACCTTGTCAAGACAGTGGGAGGAGGAACACCTTCACCAGAAGTCCTTCTCCTTTCTAAGAGTATCCATTCTCTCCCTTGAGAGTATCCCCCTTTCCCCTCTCCTATCCCTTCTAATAAACTCATGCCTGCTATTTTTAAGTGACTCATCTGAAATCTTTCTAACATGATCTCAAGAGTCAAGGTAAAGAAAAGGCCTCTGGGGTTGCCTCAGCTTTGTGGCAAGCCTCTGCCCTATAACAAATTCCAAGTGTAAGGCCAGTCTGAGCAACTTAGACAGACCCCGTCTCAAAAATAAATAAAGGAGCTGAGGACATAGCTCAATGTTAGAGTGCTCCTGCATTGAAGAAGAAGAAAGAAGAAAGAAGCAGCAGAAGAAATAAAACCATAAATATGTATAATTTTTACTTACAAAATGAACCAGTAGAAAAACACAGATTTCCAAGAAAAAGGGAGACAGAGAGAGGGAAAGGGATGGAGGGGTAAGGGGAGGGGGGAAGTAGGGGGGGGAGGGAGGGAGGAAGAGAGAAAACATCCACAATGCTAGCAAGGAACACTACCTACCAGCTTTCTTTTTTCTTTTAGCAATGAAGGGCAAGTGGTAGAAAAGAGTTTTGTTGTGGTGGTGTTCCTGCTGAGGATTGAACACAAGCATGCTCTACCACTGAGCCACATCCCTGACCCTTTTTAGTTTTTGAGACAGAGACTTGCAAAGTCTCACAAAGGCTGTCCTCAAATTTGTGACCCTTCTGGGGCTGGGGTTGTGGCTCAGTGGAAGAGTGCTCACCTAACATGCATGGGGCACTGGGTTCAATCCTCAGCACCACATAAGTATAGAAATAAAGATATTGTATCCACCTAAAACTAAAAAATAAATATTTTTTAAAAAATTGTGATCCTTCTGTCTCTGCCTAGGGAGTAACTAGGATTACAGACCTGTGCCATGGCACCCAACAGAAAAAGTCTTTCATGTACTAAAAATAAGCAGCCCAATGACTCAAGATCATTAAAATCTTAGCCACTGGCTAGACCCTATGGGATCTTGGGACCCACACCATACAGCTCATGCCTTCTAGAAGGGAACGCCTATTTCCACAAGCAGTGTTGGAGGGTGCTGGGCAAGGAAAGCCTGAGACTTCTGATGCTTCCTGTTTTGCTAGCTGTCAAGGACTTCGTGATTGTCCCCCTGCATACCACCCCGGAGACATCCGTTAAAGAGATTGATGAGTTGGCTGAAGTCTACAAGGATGTGAAATGGCGCTGGAATGCAGAGGTGAGCATCTCTGTGTTTGTCAAAGTCCTGTCCATGTGAAGGAGGATGAGGGGGCAGGCATGTGCAGGCCACCACCATTTCATAGCCTCACTTTAGATCTTTCCTCAGCCCTAAACATCCTTCTTTTTTAAATACACACACACATATAAACACACATGAGATGGACACAAATACCTTTTATTTACTTACTTAATCTGATGCTGAGAATCCTCAAATGCTAGGTGAGTGCTCCACCACTGAGCGACAACCCCAACCCCTAAACATCCTTCTTGCTAAATCTGCCTGGGCACCATCCATGTAGGACTAGGGAATTCATGCTCTGAACAATTTATAATGGATGCCAACATTTTTACTGAGTGACTCACTCATGCTAGGCACAGTGCTGAGGCTTCACAAGAATAAGTGTACTCACTGGGTGCAGTGGTGCATGCCTATAATCCCCATGGCTGGGGAGGCTGAGGCAGGAGGACTGTGAGTTCAAAGCCAGCCTCAGCAAATTATCAAGGCCCTAAGCAACTCAGCAAGGCTCTATCTCTAAATAAAATATAAAAAAGGGCTGGTGGTGTTGCTCAGTGGTTAACGACCCCTGGGTTTTAACCCTGGTACCAAAACAAAAGTGTACTCAATCCTCCCAATAGTCCCAGGAAGTTACTGTCATGAGTCCTACTTTGTAACTAAGAAGAGAGGCACAGATAAGTCGGGGGTGTTTCCATTGCAAGTGACAAGTTCTCAAAGGGGCTCATTGAATGGAGGAGCAAATTATGTCTGTCATCCCTCCTGGGCCACATTATTTCCTCATCTGGAGGTCAGGAACAGGACCACCTGTGGCCATGAGGGTCCCTGGAAGCTTTTGGCAAATGTGGAAGTGCTCTGGAGACTGTTCGCCACATTCCTCTTTTCTTCTTTCGAGATGTGCCTCCTATGATGGCCCTTCCGCCTCCTCAGTTCCGTGCTCAAAGTGCAAAATGAGTGAAATGTGAACACAGTTGATCAGAGTTGGAACATGGAATGGACAAGGGCCACATTTTAATTATTTATTTGTAAATAGCAGGACAAGGGAAAGTCTCATCTATTCATCCCCCAAATTATGAAATCATTCATTCATTCAACAAGAATATATTGATCATCTACTGAGCATCAGCCCTGGGGTGGTATCAGTGCCCAAAGGTAAACAAAAGGGGAAATTTATGATGAGGAGCCTTTAGTGAGGCAGATTGGGTTTCTCTACCACTTGAACTATTGATCTATATAGCCTACAGCAGGTCACTTAATCCCCTTATCCTGTTTCTACTGGGTTTAATGATGCCTCCTACCTCCTAGTGTTTGTTGTTGTAAGAAACAATTTGAATTTTAGAAAACACTTAATGCTGGCCCTGCTTTATAGTGAATGTTCAGCAAATCACCCCTGCATTAGAAGATATTGATCACTCAGGTTAGGTAGGGATATCATCCTTTCCTCAACTGTGCCTATTAATCTCAGGGGAAATTCTGATTGCTGAGGTCAAGATGAAATGTTCTTGAAGAAAAAAACTCAGAAGTCAGCAACTACCCCAAACAATAGCTCAAACAAGGAAATCTGACACTTCCTCTGTATTATGGAATGTTAAAATGCTATTCCAAGAGCCCTGCAGGGAAAAATACTTCCAAAATAGAAAGTTTCTGTTGGTGGCCTAGGGTGGGGATGAACACCTCACCCAATGACCCACTCCCCTTAAACCTCCTCCCATTTCCTCCAAAGACTGAATTTCCACAGGAATAAGTCTCCAATCTCAAAACAATAGGAGAGAGAGAGTGGCGCCAGCACACCACCCAAGTACATTTTTCTGGCTTGGAAACAAAGATGTTGATTCATTCATATGTTTATGTCCTGCAGCAATGTGGGCCAGAGACAAAAGATGCATGAGAATGTCTTAGCTAGATGGTTCTATTCCTACCTACTTCTGCAGCTGAACTACACACATGGTGACTAAGAACAAGAGGGAGCAATGAGAGCAAACATCCTTCTTCCCATTAAGAACACCCTACTTGGGCTGAAGATATAGCTCAGTGGTAGAGTGCTTGTCTAGCATGCACAAGGCCCTGAGCCCATCCCCAACACTGCAAACAAAACAACAACAACAAAAAATCTCACCTTCCTTGTACTCACTTGCCAGGTAGTCATCAAAACTCAGACTCAAGGGGCTGAGGTTGGGGCTCAGTGGTACAGAATTTGCTTAGCATGTGTGAGGCACTGGGTTTGATCCTCAGCACCACATAAAAATAAATAAAATAAAGGTTAAACAAACAAACAAAAAGCCTTCAGACTCAGTTGTAAAGCACCCTGTCCTTTTAAAAAGAAAACTAAGACAAGCCCATTATCAATCTGCTAAGGGCTGTCATAGCAAAGTACAAAAGATTGGGTGGGCTAAACAATACAGTTATGGAGGCTAGACATCAAGATTAAAGTAAGCAGGGCTGCTTCCTCCTGAGGGCTTCTCTCCTTGGCTGGTAGATGATCATCTTCTTCCCTTATCTCAACTGTCTTTTCTAAGTGTCTCTCTGCATGCTAATCACCTTTTAGCCTCTCCTTGAAGTGCTAGATATGGAACCCAGGGCCTTGTGCTGGCATGAGCTAATCCCCACCACTCCTCTTTTTTTAAGAAGGCCAATCCTATTAGATTAGTGAGACAGGGATTTAGGATAAGGAGAGAGAAATATGGAATCTTAAGGGAAATACCCACAAGCTGTTGATATGCAGAGTCAAGCCACTGAGATGGAGAAAACAGTTGTAAACCTAGACCCATGCTCTTGTAAAATGAGGGAAAACTGGAGTTATATTGTGCAGCTCCCCGCTGGATCTACCTCCAGTCCAGCCCTTGATACAGTCCTTCTATAAATACTGGACCAGTAGCCCAAGTCAGGGCTGCTTCTCACTCTGGAGACAGCCCACATTCTCCCTTGAATGTATATCTACCTTCTTAAATAAACTTCTGTCTATGCCTTTGGCTCATGCTGAAACTCTTTTCTGTCATGTATGCCAAGAACCCCACTGGTCCTGAGTTGAGCTCCCTCTCTCTTCTAAGAACTCCTTGGACCCTTCTTTGGAGACATCTCTTCTCCCATGACATTAGGGCCCACCCATCTGACCACATTTGACGTTATTTACCTGTTTAAACACCCTATCTCCAATCATAGTCATATTACTCCTTACTGGGGGTCAGGATCTCAACGTATAAATTGGAGTGGGAACACAATTCAGTTACTAACAGACCCCTTTGTTAACTGGGCAGGTGAGGTAATGTCACTGCTTGTAATCTCTGGGAAAAATGTTGTGTAGCAGTGACCACCAGCTGATGCTCCCAAAATGTGCCTTTCAGAATTTCATTTTCATGGGTGACTTTAATGCTGGCTGCAGCTATGTCCCCAAGAAGGCCTGGAAAAACATTCGCTTAAGAACCGACCAGAGGTTCATCTGGCTGATTGGGGACCAAGAGGACACCACAGTTAAGAAGAGTACCAACTGTGCATATGACAGGTAGGTGGCTCTGCAGGCCTGCTAGCCCCTACAGTGTTTGCTGTGAGCTAGAAAGACCAGCTCCCTCTAGGCATATGTAGCACATAGCTTGAGATCCAAGTCACCTCCATTTCAGAACCTGCCACCACAGACCCTGACAGTGTATGAACTGCATGACTCTTTGCCCTAGGCATTAACGCTTAGCAGTAACCAGCACTGCCTTTTTTGCGGGGAGGGGAGCAGTGCTGGGGATTGAACCCAGGGCTCTACATACAAGGCAAGCACTTTATCACTGAGCTATACACCAAAGCCTCACAGCACTGCTTCTGACGTCAGACAGGTTGGGTTCAAATCCTGATTCTACCACCTAATGTATCTGTGACCAAATTATTTAAGCTCTTTGTGTCCTCATTTCCTCACTTGTAAATTGGAGATTAGTAGTTCCTCACTTAGGAAGATGAGGATTAAATGAAGTAACATATATAAAGCTGTTAACATGAATTGGGGTATGGAAGTGCTCAATCGTTCATTGGCTGTTCCCTATACCATCACAAAGACACATCACAGTTTAGTGACCCAGTCTCCTTCACTGGTCATTAGATATTACCAAGAGTTCACTGTTGAAACTAACATCCTATATATTCATTTTGTGCAAATATTTCTGATTTCCTCAGGGTATAAGCATAAAAATGAGAGCAATTCCTGCAAAGGATTTGCATTTTTAAAGCTTCTGCTATACATTCCTAAAAGTGAGTGAATACATTTTAAATAATGGCATTCTAAAGTCTGGCTGGGAAAGTTTCAAGGACTTTCACTTTTGCTTCTTCAATGTAGAGGGAAGTGGGAGTGCCTGAAGCATTAAACATCAGTGATTGTCCACATCAAAGACCACAGGCAGGGAAATCCCTGAGAGTCTGGTCCAGTGGGTGGCCGCAGTTCCCAGAGCTCAGCCTGTTGCTGAGTGAGCATGAGGTGTCACAAGATGGCCATCTGTGGGAAACAGCCTGAAGTTCTCACTTCTCAGTCTTTAGGTCTGGATTTCATTTCCATCCCCTGGCCTCCTTTGTTCCTCTTGGGACTTTCAGGGCTAGTGTTTCCTTCGTACACATCATCACTCCAACTTTCAAAAGTGGAAACCTGAGTGGGAAGTCAGAGGAGACTGAGCATCCAGACCTCTTTCCCTCATTCAGGAAGAGCCTCTAGCCAAGCCAGTTTTGGGACCTTGGACAGGTCACATCCCTTCTCCAGTCCCACTGATCTGCCAATGAGAGGGGAGTGATCAAAAATAATGATGCAAAAGAGTAGCTAATCACAAGGAAAGATATCTACTGCAGATCAGGTTGGATGGTGAAACCGGTTAAGAAAAGATGTTTCAGCTGGATATGGTGGAGCATTTCTGTAATCCTGGTGACTCAGGAGGCTGAAGCAGGAGAATCCCAAGTTTGAGGCCAATTAGGGCAACTTAGCAAAATCCTGTCTCTAAATTAAAAAAAAAAAAAAAAAAAAGGACTGGAGATGTAGCTCAGTAGTAGAGTGCCTGTGAGTTCAATCCTCAGTACTGGGGGCGGGGGAGATGCTTCCTAAAAAGACCCTCATTTATACACATGTATGCCAAAGGATAGTGGGATTACACATAATTTTTTAAAGATTAGTTTTTTTTATCTCGATGCTATAGTTTTTCTGGCTTCTATAACAATGTATATTTTGTGGTTTACAAATGATGTTTAAAAAATGGACTCAGGCCAGATGCAGTGGCACCTGTCATCCCAGATATCTGAGAGGCTGAGGCAGGAGGATCTCAAGTTGAAAGCCAGCCTGAGCAATTTAGTGACATACTGCCTCAAATTTTAAAAATTTTTTAAAGGGCTGGGCATGTAGCTCAGTGGTAGAGTCCCCGGGGTTTAATTCTCAGTACTGGCCCCCAACCCTGCACAAAAAGGATAGAGACAAGATGGTCTTAATTCAAGCCTTTGTTTTGTGTTCAAACATTTATTGAACACCTCCCATGTGTTAAGCACTGGTGGACAAGCAAAGATGTTCAAGATTTGATCTGTGCCCTGACCCAGAGTGGGAAAACAACCTGAAGAGCAGACCCGTACATATCCCTAGAAGTCAGAAACAGAAGAGCTTTAAATATGTTGCTCATTGCTCTTTGCTCAGTTTAAAAAAAAAAGAAAAAGAAAAGAAAAAGCTTTCGCCAGGCAGGGTGGCACATGCCTGTAATCCCAGCAACACAGGAGCCTGAGGCAGAAGGATTGCAAGTTCAAAGCCAGCCCTAAGCAACTTAGCCAGACCCTGTATCAAAATAAAAAATAAAAAGGGCTGTGGATGTAGCTCAGTGGTAAAGTACCCTGGTATCAATCCCAGTACCAAGAAAAAAAAAGGAATTGGAAAAGCTCAATGGAGTAGCATAGAATGGCAGTTTGTCTTACCTTCTATTCCTTAGTCAGGACCTTGTATATCCCCACCTGGTTCACCACACTTAGGTTAATATTAGAGTCTGCTGCCAAAACCCATTTTAATAACAAATTTCCAATGGTGTCATCAATACAAAGCACCTATACTGTGATTTTTCTTTAAATCCATTAGTTTCTTAGTGAAATAAATTAATTTTAAAGGACATAATTACATTTTTTCTTCACAGCTGAATATTGGCCAAATTATATTGTTATATTGTATTCATGTACAAATATGTAACAAATCCCATCATTATATAAAACTATAATGCACCAATAAAAAATGTAGAAAAAAAAGAAGCTCAGTGAAAACTGCCCAGTGTTAAATTCTGTCTTAAATTTTTTGCCTTGAAGGTGGCAGTCTGTCCTTTTTGTCAAACTGGGGCCTTAGGGAGGTTTTAAGATAAACCAGCACCTACCTGAGAATTTCTCCATAATCAAATCAAAAAAGTAAAAGAATGACAGAAAGGGGAACATTCTTAGTATGCAAGCCATTACTACATGGTAGGTACAGTGTCAATGGATTTTAAATAAAATGTGCTCCTAAAGCTGGGCACAGTGGTGCAGACCTGTAATCTTAGCATGTTAGGAGGCCAAGACAGGACAATTTTAAGTTCAAGGCCAGCCTCAGGAACTTAGTGAGACCCTGTGTCAAAAATAAAAAACTAAAAAGGACTAGAGATGTAGCTCCATGGTAAAATGCCCCTGGGTTTAATTTCTAGTACTGGGAATAAAAACAGCTCTTGTATCACCAAACACCTGCCAACACAGGGGACACTGTCCCGGTGCCCATAGAGCCATAGCAAGCATAGAACCTATTTTACAGTTGTAGGCACTGTCCTGTAGGGTGCAAACTATCACAAGTATTGACTTGAAGCACCACACGAAAGGGCCAGGCTGCTTAGACAGTTTCTGATGTCAAACACAGATCTTGGTTTGATTTTAAAAATCAACAGCATGGAGTAACATGACTGTCCTCCCTCCCCTTGCTCCAGGATTGTGCTTCGAGGGCAAGAGATAGTCGAATCTGTGGTTCCCAGATCAAATGGCACCTTTGACTTCCAGAAAGCCTACAAATTATCTGAAGAGGAGGTAAGGCTGCCATCTTGTCTTTCTGAGTCACCATCCTGGAAAGATGTACAGATAACCCTTGGAGATCACCAATGAAGATGTCACATTGGGCCACTGGACCTGCAGTCGCAATACTTATGACTCTCTGATTTGAAGGCCTGCCAAAATTTCTAATGACACCAGACCAAGGATCATTCTCAACAGTTCTATTGGGTGACTTCAGGCATTTCATCTCCCCTCTCTTCCTGAATTTGCTTATTACCAAAATGACAACATTATACCAAGTATTTTCTAATTCTCAAACTAATTCTGTTTTCTTCTTACAGGCCTTGGATGTCAGTGACCACTTTCCAGTTGAATTTAAACTACAATCTTCAAGGGCCTTCACAAACCGCAAAAAATCTGTTGCTCCAAAGAGGAAAAAAAAGACCAATCATTCCTAAATACAAAGGCACCATTTAATTAACTATTTCTTGCCTCTAAATAAATGGTCCTAACAGGTATTAGCTGATTCCTGCACACTCTAGAAAGATGACTGGTCCATCTGCTTTTATTTTTTCACTTGAGTTAATTCTGCCTTGAGCCAAATTGGGAGGAGAATTTTCTGCCATCCCTTCTGGCTCATACCTCCCAAGAACTGTCCTAAAGGAAAAGTTGGTCTTTGTGATGCAAAAGAATGGCCTTAGGTCCCCAAGCCCCATCCTTTGTCACTAGTCCTTACTCAACCCTGTTCTGCTGGAGGCTGCAGGAGGATGTCAGACAGACAGCTTTCCGAGGGTCCAATCCTAGGAAATGAGCAGAAATGCCAAGGCCCCAACTGCACCACATAACCTGGGCAATTAACTGGTCTAAGCCTTCACCTTCAAGTCCTTCAGTCTGAGATCAAGCCTCCATCATATCTCACAGGGATGGATGAGGCCACTCCCACTTGTTCTCCCTATCTCCAGACTGACCTCCTTCAAGTCAGCCAGCGCAGTAAGCACCAGTGTCATCCTCTGATGTACCAGTCAGTCCACAGCTCATCCCCATTCTTATCACCTCCCTATAATCCTTCAGGGGCTCTCATCACCATGAGCTTAGTCTTTGGGCATCATAAAGGTCTCTATTAGCCTACATCTGACAATACCTTGCACTGCATACTCCAGCAGGACAACTCTTCCCTGCCCATCATATGCTCTCCCTCCCTCCAGGTCTTGGCTCCATCTTGGGTGCCCAGCCCTGCCCCACAGACTGGATTAAGGGCCCTTGACACCACTTCCTATGCCTCCACTGGAACATGTACCACATTGTATTTGTCACCAAGGCAGTACTAGAGTTCGTTGAGGGTCTTAGTGTGACAAATGCCCTGTTGGCTGGCTGGGACTTTATTTTTTCTGCAAATGTGCAGAGCAACATGGAACTACTTTGCCTATACCAAGATATGCATTTTTATGTTTTGATTTGTTTTTATTGATATTATGCCTTTGTTCAAGTAGTGACACGAGCAAGGCTAAATATGCTCACAGTGCCAAAGCAGCAGCAGAAAAAGAAATGTCACATGGCAACGCTATTCCCTAGTTTCCCGTCTCACAAGCAGCCCCTCTGACCAGATTATGTGTACTTCCAGAGTTTGTGAAAAAATGAGCACCATATGTAATTAAAATAAAGTGTGGCATACCACATGAGTTCAGCTCCTTGCTTTCCCCCTTATGTCAGGGTCAGTGTGACTAATGCAAGAAAAAAGAGACCATAGGCCTGTGTTTGCTTTCTGTCACTGTGACAGAAAGTTGAGATAAATCAAAGGTAAAGGAGTGAAGGTCTATCTCGCCTCACAGTTTCAAGGGTTTCGTCCACAGTCAGTTGGCTCCATGACTCTGGGACCTGCAGTGGAGCAGAACATCGTGCAGGACACGAAGCGTCGCACAAGACTCACCTCATGGCGTCCAGAAGCAGAGAGACAGGAAATGGTGGGGTCCCAGTATCCCCTTCGCGGGCTTGCCCTGCCCCAGTGACCCCACTTCCTCCTTCCAGGCCCCACCTTTTAAAGACCCCACATCCTCCCAATAGCGCTGCACTCCAGATCCAAACTACAGCAGCCTGGTATCCACAATTATGAAACATCTGAATGAGGGAATAAAATCCAAAGGCCTAATTAAAAGAAGCCATCTTCCCCACATGTCCAATTAACTTCAACAATCTCAGAAAGGCTGCTAACATTTGTCACCGCTTTTCTGAGGCACGGACATCCCAGGAAACTTTCCAATCTCCAAGGCTCAAAATGGTCAAGCAAGCATTTCACAAATGAGCTTATCTTGGAGAGAGGGCATCATTCTTTTTCCATAAAGGGTTGAAAGTTTTGATAGCTGGCCCAACTGGGCAAGGGCCCTGGCCATGGGCTCCAGACTCTGTTCAGTGGGGAGGCAAGGACAAGGTGGAACAGGTACTAAACAGGAGCCTAGTCATAGCTCTGACCTGGAGTCAGCAAATCCTGATACCCTGGGGCTTCCTCCCCAGCAAGATGTGCCCCTCTTCTTGCCCCACAGCAGGTTATAAAGCCAGAGGCACCTGCCAGCTATTATTCTGTCAAACTTTGCCAGACAAGAGGCAAAGAACAGAACTTGTCCTCATTGTCCACTACCTAATGCAGCTACAAACCTCCCATCCATTTGGGTCACCTGGCCTAAGCAGGGCAAGAAGTGCCAGTGGTTTTCAGGAAGGGGTGTGTACCCTGGTCAAACTCACCCTCTCAGCCTTGACTTTGTCCAAAGTTTCTGAAACTTTTCATATACCAGAATCCCAGAGAACAAGTTACCATGCCAATTTGCAGGCTGTAGGTGCCCGAGTCTCTCTTAGAAGATTGGGTGGGTTCCAGGAACCTCCATGATTTAGTTAGTTTGTTGCAGTACTAGGGATTGAGCCCAGGGACACTTACCACTGCATATATCCCCAGTCCCTTTTTAAAATAATAATAATAATTATAATTATTATTATTATTATATATTATTATTATTATTATTATTTTAAGACAGGGTCTTGCTAAGTTGCTGAGTGGGGTTGACTTCTAATTTTCAAATCTCCTGCATCAGCATCCTAGGATTATAGGCTATGCCACTGTTACTAACTAGGAACTTGCATTTTTAAAAAATATTTTTTAATTGTTGATGGACTTTTTATTTAATTACCAACATGCGGTGCTGAGAATCAAACCCAGTGTCTCACAGGTGCTAGGCAAGCACTCTACCACTGAGCCACAACCCCAGCCCCAAGGAACTTGCATTTTTAACAGGTACCACCCCCACTTGAACCCAGATATACTAAAGGCAGGTAATCTGAGGACCAGATTTTGAAATTCCTCTACTAGCCCTCCTTAGAAGAGGCATAGCATGGTCACTTCAGGGCCATATTCTGTACTGCCTTCTTGCTGTACAACCCTAAGCAGGTAGGTCACTTCCCATTTCTAAATGAGCAAAATGGGGATGAGAAGGGAATTGAGCTCACAGGTAAAGTTTAAATTGGGTGATGAACATTGAGTATGAGCATGACACTAAGTCCTTGATAAATGGAAACTCTATTTTTATCAGAACTTGTTCTGTCACAGTAGACAGCTTTACATCTTTGGGTTCATGTTGCTCTCATTTAATTATTCAGAATGCCTTTTTGCCATGGAAGGAAACCTGCCAAGTTTCTGTTGCTTTATCATTCACCACAGTAGGTATTTTGGCAACCAAGCTCTGAGAAACGAAGACACCCCTATTTCTAGTCCTTGTCGTGTCCTCTTCCTTAGTAACATCCCTTTCCTGCCTCACACACACACAAACCTTCCCTTATTGACCTTTACCTTGTCTCTGTTACCAGGTTGGGGATGAGGAGGGTTTCTCCAGTTTAGCAAGCCTGGCTCATCTAGGAGAAAGCAAGTATAAAGGGCAGTTGCCAAACCAGTAAAGGGTGACTAACTTGGAGGCCAAAGCCCTCATCCCTTCCAGAACAAGAAAAGGCACTGGGCCCAGGCAGGTGTGGGTGGAAATCAGATCCGCTAAGAGAGGCTTACACCTTCATCTGTTGCCAAGTCTGATGATGATGATCTTGAAAGAGTCAGCATTCTGAATAATCCCCCAAGCTTCCCTGAATGATCCTGAAGGAGTCAGCTAACCCACAGGACCCTGGTACCTCTGGCTTCAAGATTTAGGAGTCAGGGAAGTTACTGAAATAAAGTAAAACAAAGGAAATGTAAGGAAACAAGGATATATGTATGCAACATGCATGCATGAGTGCATGCACACATACACACACATTTCCCAAGGATTCCCTTTTCTGGTACATATTCTCCAGCTAGCTCAGCTTCTGGTTGGGTGGTTAAGCCCATGTTCCTGCCTCACATGAGTTCTCTGAAGGCAGGAGGGAGGTTGTGTTCATTTGCAAAAACGTCTGTTGCCACTCTATTCTCTAGAAAACTCTTTACTTTCTCCATCAAATACCCTGGAAACTTCACTTTATTCTTCTGAGATATTTGCCTTGAGATTCCTGCTTGTTCTGAGATCTTTTCATCAATTCACAGAGGTTAGAGTGGAAAAGAAGACAAAAATAACAAATAATAGCCGACATTTGCAAAGCCTCCTCTGTTCTAGGCTGTGTTCTAAGAAGGCATGCCTACACTATCTCACTGAATTTCAATCCTAGCACTAAAGGGTGAGGTTTGATATCATCCAAACTCTGAAGATGAAGAAACTGAGGCTCAGAAAAGTTAAACAACTTGCCTAAGTTCACACAACTAAGGCAGAGGAGGACAGAACTGACTCACCCATTGGGCAAGGTAGGCACAACAGTAATTTTAGGAGCCACAGAAATGATAAACTTTTAGTTGAAGAAAAATTTTAATATGCAGTATTAATATTTTTCTTTATATCAGACATCATTATAAAATGTAATTTTAAAATAATTTTGATGGAGGAAGGCACCTAAAAGGAAAAGTATCTGGGACCCACAAAAGTCATACTGAGGTGCTGATGAAGCTGGAATTCAAATTCAATTTTGTCTGCCTCCAAAGTTCATGTTCTCACTAGTCTAGTCTAACTCCATTTTACAAGGGAGGAAATTGAAGTCCAAAAACCACACAGCAAAGTGGTGGCAGAGCCAGGCAGAAACCAAGTAGACTAATAGCATCACCTGGTGGCCATTCAAGGAACTTCCCTTTAATCCCAAGGGAAATCTAGGACTAGAAGCCTCAGGTCAAGATATTAGCAGGAAGCAGTCAGGAGTGCTCCAGGGATCCACACTCAGAAATGGGGAACCAGGCTAGGGAGCTCTCTAAACTGTCATGAGAATTCACACACCATACACCCCACCTCATCCCTCTCCCAAGGTAAGTTAACCCCCAGAATTAAAATTGTAAAATGCTTAACTTAGCTCTGTCCAATACTGATACACTGTGAGTCAATATGCAACCTAGAATCTTCTAGCAGACACATGGGGCGGGAGGTAAAATCAACTTAAATATATTTTTAAAATTTAACCCAGAGTACAT